TTGATTTCAATTACCACATCACAGGTGTGCAAGTGAATTGATTTCAATTGCCACATCACAGGGATGCATGTGAATTGATTTCAATTACCACATCACAGGTGTGCATGTGAATTGATTTCAATTACCACATCACAGATGTACATGTTAATTGGTTTCAATTACCAAATCACAGGGATGCATGTGAATTGATTTCAATTACCACATCACAGGTGTGCATGTGAATTGATTTCAATTACCACATCACAGGTGTGCATGTGAATTGATTTCAATTACCACATCACAGATGTACATGTTAATTGGTTTCAATTACCAAATCTCAGGGATGCATGTGAATTGATTTCAATTACCACATCACAGGTGAGAAATTTCAAATTCATGTTTGATATTTTATACATAAGAATTGTCATTACGATATTTTTAATAAAGCTGTAAACACTACAAATTTAAAGCATAAAAAGCAAGTTCATTGAGTAGGTAGAAAGTAAAATCCTTTTATTGAGTAGGACCCCAGGCACAGAATGCCCATAAACAGTACCATAACTCATGTCCCCGTGACAACTCAAAGGTTAAAGGTCATGTTTAGGTATCCTGCATTGCCTAATGAAGCCTATCCTGAGGGAATGATTGTTCAGTTTTACATGTATTCTGTGTTGTTATTTAATTAAAGCAAGTTTATTGGTGGAGAGAGACGAGGAAACACAAACTTCACTCACGTATTAGTTTCACTTCAGCAAAATTATTCTGCCGAGTGTTAATAAGAATGTCCTGACAAATTTCAGGTTTTTCCTAAAAACAAACAAATTAATTGTCGCTACTGCTACAATACTTTATTTCCAGGGATGCAAACCAATCATTACTGGTGCTGGAATTTCATTAACATTAATGAAGATGACAATTCAGGTAAACAAGATACGATATGCAGGTCAAAGGTCATACACACAATCTAAATGTAATGATTTACCGTGGTGCTGTTACATACAAAAATAAAAAAAAAAAAACTATTGAACACATATTTGCTAGCAATTAGTGTCTTTGTCAGGTGGTATCTATTATTACCAATGCTTTCTCGGCACCTATGAATGTACTAATTTTACCAATTTGACATTTTTTGATTCTGAATAGACTAAATTAACTGTCTTCTCAGAGTAACATTCTCTGAAAGGCACTTTTGTTCCATCAGCTTTTATAAGTATGCAAATAAAGTGCAATTATGTGTCTGAGAGTCAATGCAGGACACATCCTACCAATCTAGGTAGATTGTCAAAATTGATTTTTCTCTCTGTACAACCTACTGTATAAAAACCTTACCAATAACGCAGGCTAGTACATTTGTATATGCAATAGTGCAAGGTAATATTCCACAAAAATGTACACATTTTTTCTAATTGTCCTGGCAATTATGAGGAAATTACCGTACAAATTTTAATTTTATAACTTTTATAAAACCTACTGTATTAACTAATGAACAATATATATATTCTTTCCTGGTATGCTAAACTGTAAACAAGCCGCCTCTTGGCTGAGATAGCTCCGCTGTTAGCAATGCACATTTCAAGAACTAAAGATATCATTAGAAAATGAACAAATCTGAGAGGTCTACCTGAGGTACCTATATGTATAATATCAAAGCAATCGGACTTGCAGTTTTTAACATGAAGTCAAAAATATCACTTTTTTACCAAAAATGATAAAATATTCATCCAAATTATAAAACTGAAGATATTATCATGAAATATAAATAAATCTGAGAGAGCAATCAAGACTTGAGATTTTTAACAAGAAGTCAAAAATATCATTTTTTACCAAAAAAGACAAAAATATTTATCAAAATTAGAGGATTAAAGATATCATCACGAAATGAACAAATCAAAGAGAGGTCTGCCTAAGGTACATAAACCAAGAATCAAAGCATTCAGGTTTGTAGTTTTCAAGAAGAAGTCACAAAAATAAAAAGTTGACACGAACAACGACAGACAATAACTCCGCTCGACAAAATCGACAGCAGGGCTAAAAAAAGAGTGTCTTTAATTCATATTTTAGAATTGTGAAATCACAAAATTTTAGCATAAACATTAAAGTTATTTCTCATATTTTTTTTCGTTTATATGAATATCATATCTTGTTTTTGTATTAATTCAAGGGGATTAAAATGAAAACAACACATCAAATACAAATCTGAGAAGCGGGTAAGGAAATATACAAACAAAATGATACCAGATGAGTAATTTTTTGAAATGTACATCAATCAGAGTATGTGAGAGAAATGATATGTTAGAGGAATACACTCACAAATGGGCAAAGAGGATCCAAATTATAACTTTATAAATTTTCAACCATCTCCTGTTTTCTATACATACACATAGATGACGGTGAACGGTTCAAGCACATAGATGACAGTGAACGGTTCAAGCATCTCAACAATGTTGACATTTGTTATATTCATTGTTAGCATTTTAAAATAAGTCAAGTGTGTTGAGTGACAACTGTCTTAAAATTCCCATTAGAAAACAACTGCTCATTAAGTTAATATATCGTCATGGTAATAATACCATTCACTGGTAATGAGCTACCGGTACTTGAAAATGCAAGTGTTTTTTTCCTCCACATCCGCAAAAGAAATGTCAGGAAATGGCACCTCAATCTGTCATTTTCTATCACGTCTTGTTTACGAGGTTCAAGACTGAATTTAAGAATGACGTACAGACGTAAATATAAATCAAACAATTTTTGCTATGCGGGTAGAAATGTCAACTCATCACTACAGCAGTGATTATTTTTAGAAGTAATAACTGATTAATAATCAGTTATTAGGATTTAATAAAATAACCTTTAACTGTAGTGATTAAACTTTGAAGTGCAACCAGTCCATAATTAACTTTCAAATATAATTGTTTACAGTTATATGACCAAAAGTGATTAAGATACTGTAAACAGATTAGTTTCCCGTTGCCCAGATTTTGCACTATTTAATTATTTAATAGCATTCAAGAGGATAACAGTTCATGAAAGTCGCTGTGACTGTGTGTCTTTAGTAACCCCACGAAACACTTAGATGTTCAATAACCAATTTGTGAAAATTTGACTCGCATGAAAGTTAGAGCAGTTCATAGATTTTCATTCACAAAGGTTAAGAAAAAAAACATTTTCTGTTTTATGTTACCCACCTGCCAAAACAGACGATGCCTGGACAGTAAAAATACAAAATTAAAAAAAAGTGTCAATTTCTGGGTCATCGCCAATGGCAACAAGTTAAGCATAATCTGCAGTGAAAATTCTTCTCATCTCAAGTACAATTTCAGTGTCTGTCTTGTGTTTAACTATTACATGTCTATTGTATGAAATTGATCTATGCAAGACAGGGGTATGAACACGCTGAAAAAAAGACGAAAGGACCCTTTCTTACGAGGACTAATTACATGCACTTACTTATGCATGAGAAAGCAAAGATTGTGAGAGTTTCCCGGGGAGCTACAAACTATCCGAGTGCAGCCAGTGGACAAACGACACTTGTCATAGCAATTAAATCACAAGAAAACACATGTCATAACATCAGTTGGCACCTAAACATAAATTAATATTAGGGTTATCATATTTGGCTGTCCATATTTTTTCAGCACTCGGAACAAATCAACGATTAGTTCTGTTAAAACCAAATGACAACCATGACATGACAAGCAAGCAGCTCTTACAGGATTACAATGATTTCATGAAGTGGACACATGTCAGTCATTCGGTGTAAACCCATTTCCTGTCCTTTTTTGCCCTTCATTGATAGAATCATAAGAACACACAAAATGTTACACAGTCACCTTGTACACAACAGGTTGATATGAAGTACTGACATAATGTAATAACTCACACTTAATATGGTTAGTTGTATTACATATTGTATGCCTGGACCCATGCTGGGTAGATACATATAGTCCTTCCACTTTATTAATAGCGTATTACATTCAGAAACTATAAATATGTTTTGTTGCTATTTCGCAATGCAATTTAAAATATAATAATGATCTTGCAATTTAATAAAAAAAAAAAAAAAGTCTACTTACATCCTATGAGCATGACGCAGATTGAGAATATTTTCTCAGAGTTGGTATTCGGTGAAACATTTCCGAATCCCACACTTGTTAAGCTGCTGAATGTGAAATATAATGCAGTAATGTACTTTGATTTCATTGTAGGTCCACTATTCGTAGCATTATCAAAATAAGGCTGGTGAGTCTGCTTGGCTAAGTGGTCTAGCCAGCCTATTTTATATTTTAACATGGGTCTTTCCACGTTGCCTATAGCGTACCAAATACACGCTAACCAATGAGCAATTAAGGCGAATGTACACATGAGAAGTAAAAGTACAGCCGCTCCATATTCTGAGTATCGATCCAGTTTTCTGGCGACTCTTACCAGACGTAGCAGACGAGCAGTTTTCAGTAGTCCAATAAGCGTAGCAGTCTGTAATATCAACAAAAAGACAGTTTAATAGAAAAGGTTTGTATGAATAGCTAACTTCCCTCAGGAGTTTAGATTAACAAGTAATCCTATTGATTTAGGTTCTCTAATCTATGAAGATTAGTATGTCAGCTTAGTGTATTGCGGTCTAGAAATCAGCTATATGTGGTGAGGTCAGTATTTTGTTTGGAAAATCTGCTGGTGATCGTAAATACGAAATTCATGTTGATATTAAATCTAAAGTAAACTATTTTTGATTTATGTGTTATATAATACGTAAACATTTTTTTCTTCTAAATTTGAACTTGGGCAAAAAAACAGGATCAACTTTTGATCAACTCCCCCACTCATTCCTCTAATTTTGGGGGGATTGCATATATTTGGCAAAAAAATAAAATAGGAATATTTGTTGGTCAATAAAAAAAAAAATTTTTTTTTTTCTGCTCTAGAACATTTTCCTTTTTTAAAAAATATAGCTTAATGTATTACATACCAGTAATATTCATGGTTATAAATTGTTAACTAACACAAGAACATTGATAATACTCTGAGCTGTGTCAGTTTTACTGAAGTATGGCAAGTCATGCCAATCCATGAATCAAATACATTAGGCACAGTAAGGAGACATATTTTTTTCAGAAATGTTTGAAATCACATGCACCAAAATATACATGCATATACGAGTCACAATATAGTAACCAAACTAATTTAAAAAAAATTCATTGTTGTATATGGCCAATAGTGTCATTTATTTCTCAATGGATAACGAAAGAACATATGATCATTTACAGGAAAATAAAATATAGCTGAAAAAAAAAAAACATTTGCCAGCTGTTTCTTAATGGGCACATTTTTTTTTTCTGTCAAATTTTCAACAAAATATTTTATTGAGGCCCAATTTATTAAATTGTTTTGACCATCATGCAATTCACCTGAAAATTATCTGAATAAGAAGAGGACACACTATATTCAAATTTAAATCAGTTGTAATAGAATACAGCATAATGATCAAATACTAATATGTAAATTAGGTGATTATTATGCACATAGATTTGAGTCATCTGACTTGAAATACAGACATTTGTGCAAAAAACAGATGGCCAATTGACTTCAACAATCAGATTGTGTGGAGTGCAATGGGTGTTATAACAAGCCAAATTTATAAAGTCGGTATTTGAAGACTCAACTTATTTCTTTACTAAAAAAAAATCTGAAATCCAGGAATGAAACAATTGTAAACAAATAATATTCTGGCAATTGCTAAATAATGGTTTGGGGTAAATGAGAATAAGGACTTAGAGTATAAGGTCAGTCATATTATTTTGTTCTCTGTACAATTTGTATAAACACTTGCCACCCAGGCAGGTGTCGATAGGTTGACTGTTAGTTAGGATGATAATCAATAAACTCAGTTATAATCGACTTTTTAAGACCATCAAACACATACTTTTCACAAAATAAAACTGTAGCAGGTATTGTCTTAATGAAAATCGTAACAGAAGTTTCTAAAATACTGTCCTTTCCCCATATGAAGCATACGTACATTTCTACACATTTTTGTGGTATAGAGTCACTCCATCAAAGCATTACAGCAAAAGGCCAACACAGAAAAAAAAAAACATTCAAAAATCAAGTCTTATAATATGTCTAATTTCTGTTGTCATAATTTTTTTTAACCATTAGAAAAAAATTAAATAAATATAAATGAATAAATAGGTTAAAAAAAAACAAATGACAGAAGTTGTGAATACTGAGATGGGAGATTGATCGTGGATATGCTAGAAAGTTTACCGATAATGCACAGTGGTGAGGAGCATTTGCCAGGGATAGAATGTACATTCCTCTTAATTGTCACCTTTCTTTACAAGATGCAATGCTACAAAAGCAATTGATAAGTTCCATTACAAGAGACACACACAGATAAGCTGAAATTGGATCTCAGGATAACACAAACGAAATGAGATTATTACAGAGCAGATTTGGATCACGTTTGCATGTAATTGAACACCTGAAATACTACATTTTGAAAATATCATTCAATTAACCAGCGTTTTCAACATGCGTGTCAAGAAATCCAGTAGGTACAATTTACACACTATGTATATTTGTATATACGCAAAAAATAAACATCATCTAATTAACTTTTTTTTTCATTAATTTTGCGAGTAATGATAGCTTTGATTGGATTTTTATTAATTAGTGACATAATATATTACCGGTAGATTATTTTTACGTGAGGAAAAAAAGCTTAGGGCTAATAATGAGTTAAATATTATGAAAATTGGTCAATGTACATAGATTTCCCTCGTTGCTTAAACACTCAAGTACAGTTTTATTTCAAAATTCCACAGAAACTAGTAAACTAATGACCCAAGTTCTATGAATAAAGACGAGGAAGATAAAGCGAAAGTGTGTGCAGAGTTCAAAATATATTTTCCATCTACAATTAAATACCAAGCATGTCAGTTTATATATAAATGCAAAGAGGTAATGTTTGATAATACAACAGTTACTAACGTCACAAAGTTACGAATAATATGTAATCTAGTGCTTGAGGCAGAATGATGACGTCATGTTAACAGAGTCAATTGATCTGTTCTGTTGGAATCAACCACACCTGAACAAGCACAAACAGCTGCCGATCTTAATCAAGGTTATTCATCTGAGGTTTAAACGACTTAAGTCGGTCTCCCACTGGCGCAAAGCAAGTCACTTGCAAGAGGGCTAGGGTATGTATTTTTGTCACACATAGAATTCAAACTCTATATGAGAAATACAGGCTTTTATACAAACCTTTATGCAAAATATTGTGACATATTAGAAAACTAAATTCCTATCTCAAGATGACAACACATATTAAGCAACCTACCGAATAGTCCACTGCCCGGTTATCAATTTTGAATACTGTAGAATACTTTATTTTCGCTTCCATACAAAACACCCAAAATGCCTTTTCAGCGAAAATTAATTCCAGCGAAAATAAAGTATTTCACAGTATATCACTTGAATTTGCATGGTACATTTATATTTCAAATTGTGAGAGAACATTACTTATCAATGTAAATGAAACAATCCTGGAAAGAGTTTCAGAGAAGAAGTTGAAAATTCCTTATTGCAAAATAAATGTAATTGTCTATTCCAAGTTGCATTATTCATAGAAATATTGTGAAGGTCATATGTCTATATCTTCCAATTTTCAGAATTTCTTTCTCTCACAATTAAGTTTTTATTCGCATTCTTGAACTTTTCTGATTGATGCGATGTAATATACGGCACTGCACCATTTGAAAGCATTTACTTGTAAGCATTAGTGAGATTGTATTTCCGACTGCTTAAACATGCAAATAACTGTCCACATCATTATTACACAGTTGTGATGCATGGATAATATGTAAAGTAATGTCTATTCCTTGCTGTTGGATTTAACAGAATTATCCATTTCCACATCTTTCTTGACTTATATGCAAATTAGCGAACACATCAGGGTATTGATACAAGGCCAACCTAATGACTAATGTGTTCTCATGCATGTGGAGATGAGACTGTCAATATCTGCATGGATACAACTAACAATGAATAATGAATCAAAGTAAAGAGCACCTATATGATCAATTTCGAAAGAATTCTACTGAAATTCAAGACCTTATACAAACAAATTGTATCTAAGGAAAGTGCCAGAGAAAGTGTTGGTTAAACCACTTACCTCATCTGTCTCTGATCCAAATAGTAAGAGATCAAATGGAATGGCAGCAACTACATCAATGAGAAACCAGCCTTTAAAGTAATGTACAGCAATTTTGCCTGGGTGTGAAACAACTTCATCGTTCTTATTCACATAGGTTGTCCGAAAATTTATTAAAATATCAATAATAAACATGACATCCACTATCAAGTCAATTATGACAAGTGGATCTCCATAGCGATTAGAAGCTCCGTAGTTCACTCGTGTTTCAGGATCTTTATTCAACTTGGTCCTTTTTTCATCCTCGTTCAACAAAAATGCAGCAACGTAAGGTGTAAATATGGCGGTATAGATAACAAGTAAAAGAATAATCCAGTCCCATACTGCTTTGAAAGGGGAATAGTGAAGTATTGTCCATCTATGTATCCTTGGTTGTTGTAACTTGTATTCAGGTAAGACATCAGCACCAAGAGAGAGGACCTGTAATCAACCACATTAATGTCACCAATTGACAAATCTTCAAACAAAAATCAAAGAATGCTTAGAAAGAACATCCATGTGCTCAGAGAATTGGATACAAGAAATACATATAGTTCGGCCGTGTGAGAATCATAATTGCCTGAAAGTAATTTGATCCACAATATTGAAGTAGAGAAACAGGGAACCCCAACATTTAAACCCTCTATGTGCCTATGTTTTATGGTTGAACTGCTAAAAATAGAGAATTATGCAAATTAGATATTAATTAATTTTCACAATAATCAGGCATGTGGGTTGTCCAAGTTTCATTGAAATATGCTTAAAATACACAATGAATCTTGTTTCATTGAAATCTTGATGTAAATACTGAAATAACTAATTACTGGCTAATTATCATCAACTTAGGTATTATTATGCACAGATTCCCTGCATATTTTAATAAGATCTGTGCATTACTCCAATGCATCTATATATCAAAGGCTGTTTCAAATATGAATCAAACAGCAGTAAATTGTCTAATTATTATGCAAAAAAGGTAATTAATAAAGAGAGCTTTTATACCATAACCCAATCATGTTTGTGCATCACTGCAATGATGTATCAAGTTTCAATGAAATATGTTCTTGATAAATCAGTGGGAGAGCTAAAAATTGGCTAATTATTATGCAAATATATTCATTAATATGCATGGTGTCAATAAAAAACTAACTAGGTCTGCATCTTGTCCCAGAGTATCTACCTGTATACACTAAATTTCCTATAATTCTGAAAAGTGGTTCTTCAGATACTGGCGGAACAGACATACAGACATTGGGTATCCCAGAGTCAAAAAAAATTTGTTTCTTACATCACTTAAAATTGAAAATATCAAACTAAAAAATTGGAGAGAATATAAAATTACAACCAATTAGAATTAAGTGCATATTTTGATTATCACAGCCATTTTCAACCAGATGTCGATAAAAAAAATATTCACATGAAAAAATGATTGAGTGTATATAATAGTAAATCAGTTTATATATAGCTGTAAATTAAAGGTTTATAGAATGTCAGAATCAAACCACTGCACATGTGAACAGTTACACTCCCGGAATTGCCAGTGGATGGTAACTATTGCAGTTGATATAACACAATTTAGTATCATGCATTTATTATGCAGGTAAGAATAAAATTTGAAGTCAAGGAATTTTGGCAATCATATTAAGCATTTAGACATTGAAAACAAATGTTGATCTGAATGACAGAGGAAAAGTTATTTATGTAGGTGAGATATTCACAATGGTTTCACATGATAAGCATTGAATTGCATCACAGAATTATTTTGTTGGCATTGGTTTTTGAAAGCATAAAAACGTAAAACTAAAATGAGGATTGTAAACTTTAACAATATATAGCATCCAGAAGCACAAATGTTATTACAAATTTATTAAAATATATTGTGGACAACAATAATATTATATTAAGAAGAGAGACACTCAATGAATACATTAACATATAGTGTGGACAGGAGTCATATTACATTAGAAAGAGAAACACCAACAATACCAAACAGTATGGACAGCAATGATATAACATAAAATGAGGAGGGACACTCAGTGAATACAACAGCATATAGTGTTGACAACAATAATATATTACATTATTGGAATGTGTTTTGATATCTTGTGAAACAACTATAAATATTTCGGTAATCTTGACAACAAATTGCTTTTTGTTCTATCATCACTCACTGTCAAATAATCCGCTGAGAAAACAAAATTACACAACAAGTCATCTTAAGTATCCATAATAACATTATTCTGTCTTAGATAACTGACAACAGTTGAATTAATGAAAAAGGCAACGTAATTGTCATGTCATTCTCGATATAGGGGGCCATGCAATGTAAAAAACAAAGATAAAATTACCTGAATTAAATGTGGCAAAATGTATATACAAAATACATAGATAGGAATACCATTAAAGCAGTTGACTCAAGTTAATAATACTAAAGTAAGTCAACATTGGAAAGCTAAGGGGCATTGTCAAAGTTCACCGTTACATTGAAGGACAGAACAGACGACTACTGCAACAACACGTATAGGTAGCAAAAATTTGATTTTTGAGGTACTTTTCATTTTAAATTGTTAATTTCATTGATCAGAAGCTCTTACATTGCTTAGAACAGTGAAATAATTCATTGCACAGTATATAAAAGTTCCCAATCACTGCCCACAGTACAGCAGTAATAATGTACAAAGATTACTGAGCAAGCATACAACAGTTACTCTCCATCTATAATACAACACTGTGCCCACATTCACTGAGAAAGCATACAACAGTCACTCTCCACCCATAGAACAAGACTGTACTCACATTCACTGAGCAAGCATGCAACAGTCACTCTCCACCCATAGATCAAGACTGTACTCACATTCACTGAGCAAGCATGCAACAGTCACTCTCCACCCATAGATCAAGACTGTACTCACATTCACTGAGCAAGCATGCAACAGTCACTCTCCACCCATAGAACAAGACTGTACTCACATTCACTGAGCAAGCATACAACAGTCACTCTCCACCCATAGAACAAGACTGTACACACATTCACTGAGCAAGCATACAACAGTCACTCTCCATCCATAGATCAAGACTGTACACACATTCACTGAGCAAGCATGCAACAGTCACTCTCCACCCATAGAACAAGACTGTACTCACATTCACTGAGCAAGCATGCAACAGTCACTCTCCACCCATAGATCAAGACTGTACTCACATTCACTGAGCAAGCATACAACAGTCACTCTCCACCCATAGAACAAGACTACTCACATTCACTGAGCAAGCATACAACAGTCACTCTCCACCCATAGTACAACACTGTGCCCATATTCACTGAGCAGCAGTCCTTCTACCAATAGTACAACACTGCCCATATTCACTGAGGAAGCATACAACAGTCACTCTCCACTCATAGTACAACACTGTGCCCATATTCACTGAGCAGCAGTCAGTCTACCAATAGTACAACACTATGCCCATATTCACTGAGCAAGCATACAATAGTCACTCTCCACTCAGCATAGTACAACACTGTGCCCATATTCACTGAGCAGCAGTCACTCTACCAATAGTACAACACTATGCCCATATTCACTGAGCAGGCATACAACAGTCACTCTCCACTCATAGTACAACACTGTGCCCATATTCACTAAGCAGCAGTCACTCTACCAATAGTACAACACACTATGCCCATATTCACTGAGCAAGCATACAACTGTCACTCTCCACTCATAGTACGACACTGTGCCTATATTCACTGAGCAAGCATACAACAGTCACTCTCCACCCATAGTACAACTCTGTGCCCATATTCACTGAGCAAGCATACAACATTAACAGTCACTCTCCACCCAGATTACAACTCTGTGCCCATATTCACTGAGCAAGCATACAACATTAACAGTCACTCTCCACCCAGATTACAACTCTGTGCCCATATTCACTGAGCAAGCATACAACATTAACAGTCACTCTCCACCCAGATTACAACTCTGTGCCCATATTCACTGAGCAAGCATACAACAGTCACTCTCCACCCATAGTACAACTCTGTGCCCATATTCACTGAGAAAGCATACAACAGTCACTCTCCATCCAGATTACAACTCTGTGCAAGCATACAACAGTCACTCTCCACTTACATTTTTGTATAGTACAACACTGTGCCCATATTTACTGAGCAAACATACATACTGAATAAGCTGTGTACAATTTAAACAATTACAAATATATTTTCGGACAAAACAACAAAGAATTAGTATACAGACTATTTTTAGTTTTTTTTAATTGGCTAACATCAAGACAGACTAGACTATGTGTAAATCAATAGTGGCTGCCAACAATGTTATATTAATCAAGAGTAAAAGTGCATGCACTTATAGTTCAGAACAAAAATGAAAATGGTACATGCCTATGTTTGTTATCATTAAGTTAGAGAATTTTCTTTATTATTCAAGCAATGTATGAAGTGGTTCATGCATATCATGTTTCTTATAATATCAATATTCATATCTGATATATGAAATGCAATAATAATGTGAATTTGGCAGACTCTAGATATACAGTGCATAAAGACATGAAGATTTTTTTGTTGTAACATGAAAATTATACTCAATCTTTTTTGAGAAGTATTATTTCAACAAAATTCTTATTTTACATATTTACTAAATGTTTAGAATATGCTTCTAATTTTCTTCTAGTTATATAAGTATGTTCTACCAGATGCAACACAATATAATACACTAGCATAAAGATTCTAAACGATCAATTGATACTACTCTCGTGGCAATAGAGACATTCCTTTCATCTTCATAAATATTTATAAATTTCTCAATTCAAACTGAAACAAAAGGTTTCTATTGACCGATTGAATAACACTGGAACATTTCGAAATGATGTTGATGCACACTTTGCATGTTGATTGTCCTGCTAGATTCGACCACAATTGACATTTCAAGCTATTTATAAAGATACCATTGTTGCACTGAGAGTACATGGAACCAAGTGAAATAGTTGTTTGCCAGGGCACATTTGGAATATCATACACACATTATTACAGAAAAAAACAATAATAATTTAATATTTTATAATATAATATTTTATGTTTTAAATAAAACATTAAATTTCTTTCCTCTGCACCTATAGCCATACATGAAATTGGAACACTTGTCCGATGGGCATTATTATTTAATAAATATATAATGTTAGGTTCAAACAGGGAAGTATCATACTCAGCAATCTGTCTGAAGGAACATTGAAATATCAACTGTAGCACAGCTCAACTCCCATACGGTAGATAAAACACACCCCAGCTTTCACAAAAACAAACTATTCGGAAAACATCTACAATAATATACAATGTATATCAAATAAATAAAAAAATAGCTGTTATTATAATTCTAAAACAGACAGCTTGTTACTAATAACGAAACGGCTTTTCCTGTATGTCA